GAGTTCTTCTCTTTTAAACCTGAACAGATGCCAGCCCTCCTCAGAGGAAAGGTCTAAAGCCCCTCGATGAGTGTAGTAGTCAACAGAAGCCTGGTTCCAAATGACGACAAGAAAATGCATGCAGTTACATTGGCTTCTGGTGGCTATCTGTTTAAAAATAGAGATTACTTTTACTTGAAAGTATAGTCTTCATTAGTACATTTATTTTATTGGAGTTCTATATGCAAAGTACTATGTGTATATTTCCAAATAATAATATAATAATTATTCCTTTGACTTCTCTAAAGCTGTAAAAAGGAAAAGTCCTACTGTTGAGTTATCAAACTCTCTTTCTTTAAAAGTCCAAAACTGACTTGTGAAGTCTACTCATTGGTTTTTCTATAATTACAATTCACTGTTTTTTTTTCCTTTATTCTACAGAAAAAGTTTACCTAAAATTTTCCTATGTATTTCCAAAATACAAAAGGATCTTGTTTTTGTACTATTCTCATATTCATATAATGGACCTATTTTATGAGTAAAGTCACTTTCTAATTTCCTTCTTGATTATTGCTGCTACATAGCAAAAAGCTGTATAGTATGGTTATGGATTATATAGAAATCAGTGTTTAAATATATCTCAAATACAACCAATATTAATATCTGATTTGAAAATTCAGTTTAATTAGAATACAAAATTTAAATATATTTTGAGATTATGTTCAGATGGTGAGGTAAATTATCTCATTTATGCCCTGTTAAATAATACTTGATTAAGAAAGGATAACATAGAATACCAATGCTAAAAAAAAAAGAATACCAGTACTAATTGTAATACATACCTGACTTAGCGCCTTCAACATTTCAGCTCCAATACCTAGACCTTTTAAATAGATAATGTAAAATAAAAAAAGTACAAGTTGAAAAATTCTACTCAACAAGTTATTTTAGTTTTAAAAAAATGAAATGTAAAACTCTATATCTAGTTATACATTATTTTTAAAATGTATTTTTATTTTTAATAATTTATTCATTTTTCAATTACTGTTGACATATAATACGTATTCTTAATAACCTTGTATTGACATTAAACTCATGAATGTTTTTCCTTTTTCCTAATTGGAATGTGGTTCCAAAGGTGATGGAAAAGATTTTATATTTAGCTTAAATATTAAGGAAGAAGAAACGAGTCTCTGTCACTATCATTTTATCACAGAATATATTTCTTATTCATTTCTAGATAAACAAACCCAAAATGTAAAAGCGTTGTTTAAAGGTAAAAACATAGCTATGATAGCTTGGCTTATTCAAGCTTGGTGGGAACTAATAATTTTTTTTTTTAAATCTGTAATTGAATCTTTACTATATGCAAGGAGGATAATTAGGACAGTGATCAGGCTCATGAAATAGAAATGAGTTACATAAACTAACTTATATACCATATTTATACTAAAGCACTATCTCCTTAATTTATAAAGTATAACACTATAAGTGTAGCTTGACCTTGGTAAGCTTGTGTGACATAAAAGTCCTCTAAGTAAAGTAACTTGCCAATCCAGGAGTTGTATGTAAAGTAGTACATGGCAAATCCAATGGTCACTTTGCCTAGGAAGAGAGAAGAGAGGGCACAAAGAGGTTAGTGCTTTGAATCTTAGAATATTTTTTCCTCTGAAATGGAATATCTTTGGTGTTTTTTAACTATTAAAGTAGTAAAAGCCCAGTGGACAAAATTTCAAGCAATACAGAAATGTATATACATGGATGGACCTCGAGATAATTATGCTAAGCGAAATAAGCCAGACAGAAAAAGTTGAAAATCACATGATATCACTTATATGTGGAATCTAAACCTAAAAACAAATGAGTCTACGGCCATACTCCCCTGAACAATCCCTATTC